ATAGATAGATAGATAGATAGATAGATAGATAGATAGATAGATAGATAGATAGATGCTTTTGCAAGCTTATATTCGAAGTGACAGGGTTTTTTTTTGCACCCACCAATTGTGGTCTTTCTCTTTGTGCTGATTCATTCCAGAATCTTCCTTTGACCATCAATGATTTCCCATTGATAAGCAGTCACATACAAGTCAAATCACAGAGCAATCATTCATTTAGTTTCACCACCCACTCCTGCAGACTCCCACTCAGCTCCTCATTCAGAAATCTCTCTCTGACACCCCGAACGCACTCACGCTTATAACCACACGCACACGCCCTCCACGTAGCCTGCCACAGACGCTGTCCGCGGTGCTGAAACGCTCAACCAAGACGCCCACCGGTTTGGGCAATTTGCCAAATTTAATCTATCTATCTATCTATCTATCTATCTATCTATCTATCTATCTATCTATCTATCTATCTTTCTATCTATCTATTTATCTATCTATCTATCTATCTATCGTTCGGTCTGTCGGTCTGTCTGTCTGTCTCTCCGTCTGTCCACCCATCCATATATGGATACAATTATATATTTTTTTAAATTGTGCTGTTCGGCGATTTGGCCATGGATAATGCTTGCCTTTTTTTCTTTCTTTTACAACGGAACAGTGTTCTGTGCAACAGGGGTGTATAATTGATTAAGAATGCTTGGAAACGCTGACAGGCAGCGGTTTGAGAGGGGGCAAACCAAGAGAACAGAGCAGAAATAAAAACGCACAATTACATATAAAGAAAAGCAAGAACGTGACAAACAACGTTAAAAATGCCTCAGTCGTAAGACGTTGCGAAACCATGTCTTGGACGCAGCCCGCTCTCCTGGACCTACAGCAAGTAGTACACTCCAGCGGGTCCACCCCCGCCCTCCCGAGTGCTCTTCTCGCGATAGCTCGCCGGAGCCGTTTTGACAGGCAGTCGAGGTTGCAGCAGGCAGAGGGAGACGGTGACAGGAAGGTAAAGCAGGGAAGGCAGCATCATGGCGGACAGAGACAGCGGCAGTGACCACGGAGGGCCTACCTCGGGCCCTGGCTCGCTGCCGCCGGGTGCGATGGGAGCCATGTCCCGGCTACAGCACGACACCGAGGAGCTCGCCTCGAAACGGGTCGACATCCAAAACAAGCGATTCTACCTTGACGTCAAGCAGAATGTGAAAGGACGCTTCCTAAAGATAGCCGAGGTCGGCGCTGGGGGAAACAAGAGCCGCCTCACGCTCTCGATGTCGGTGGCCGTGGAGTTCCGTGATTATCTCGGTGACTTTATCGAGCATTACGCCCAGCTGGGCCCGAGCAACCCCGACTTGGTGCAGGATGAGCCCCGGCGGGCGCTCAAGAGCGAGTTCTTGGTGCGGGAGAATCGGAAATATTACATGGATCTGAAGGAGAACCAAAGGGGGCGGTTCCTGAGGATCCGGCAGACCGTTAATCGGGGGCCGGGACTGGGGAGCTCGCAAGGCCAGACCATCGCTCTGCCGGCACAGGGGCTCATCGAGTTCCGTGACGCTTTGGCCAAACTCATCGACGACTACGGCGTGGACGAGGAGCCGGCCGAGCTCCCGGAGGGCACCTCGCTCACGGTGGACAACAAGCGCTTCTTCTTCGACGTGGGATCCAACAAGTACGGCGTGTTTATGCGAGTCAGCGAGGTGAAGCCCACCTACCGGAACTCCATCACCGTTCCGTGCAAAGTGTGGTCCAAATTTGGCAACACCTTCTGTAAATACGCCGAGGAGATGCGGAAGATCCAGGAGAGGAGTCGAGAGAAACGGGCCTCGGAACTGCTACCTGAGGGCCCGCACGGCGCAGATGACGGCGACGACGACTGACTGACTGTGACTGACTGACTCACGGGGACGAGACGTGAAGCAAAACTGAGAACTCATTGAAGAAATGAGACTTAACAGTGTCAAGTGACTGGAAAGAGAGATCTCCGAGGGAATCACCGCCCCCCCCCCTTCCACACACACGCACACACACACACACACACACACACACATACACACACACACACTTTTTTGTGTGCAGTTGTGTCTGTGTGAATGATCTTTACGCAGCTTTTGGTGCCGCTGCCCCTCCACACACACACACACACACACACACACACACACACACACACGCACACAAGCGCCACAGACAAGGCATAACCTGGGCTGTCTCCTCGCTCATTTGACTGGATGTCACCCACTTTATCACCATGTCACAGTAAGCGCTGCTATCAAGGACTTTTAACTGTAACGTTTCAACTGTTTCTTACTTGATTTCAGTGACGATGAACAGTGTTTATATCTCTGTCGAAAGATTTTGCACACGTCAAAAGCTATTTAAAAAAAAAAAAATACAACAAGAATCAAACCATACTAAAGAATTCACCAGAAATGACAACACTGCTCTCTTACGTAAAAATAACAGTCTACTCATCAAATGCGTATTTGATATCAGCACAAAGAGAATATTTATTGACTATATCCCCAATGTGTACTTTAATGTAAAGGTACGCAGACTGAATATGGAAGCTCTCAACAGGTGTGTGACTGCGTGCTTGTAGGCTTGTTCTCTGAGCAGACGTGTGGTAAAGTAGGCTCGTCTTTAATTTGACCTAAAAATGCACAATCTAATTAAAACATTATTATGATGCTGAGAATATAAAGACTGCAGCTCTCATGCACTTAAAAAAATGGGATATGTCTATCTACGTGCTGTCATAAGAATCCGACCCTCTTGCACCATCTCAATAGAAACATCAGTGACAAAAGTGCTAACTTAGATGTAATAATTATGATTTTGTGAATCAGCTGTAAAAAGAAAAATCCTTATTGAGATACCCACGTTTTCTGTGGGGGAATTTTTTTGTTGACGCTTTTATCCTCCCCGGAGGGGGGCGGGCAAACGAACACTAAGGGTCCATTTGGGTGTGTGCAAAGGTTAAAACTATAGGAGGGGAAAAGACACGCCTGCGCAGTGCAGGCATCCTCTCTGACGTCATTACAACCCGTGCCTTATACACTCCACACGTTTACGTGTCCTCACGTGGATGGTCCGTGACCTCGGTCCACTCTCATTTATGAGCGTTGTTACGCAGGCAGATATATCCTCCATACTGACCAGGGCTGCTGGATCCACACCCCCCGCGGGTGCATGGATCAGCGGCGGTGACACTGAGAGTAAGGTGCTCTGCTGCTGAGAGTCAGGGGAGGCCTTGCGGGGTAGTGAGTGCCGTGGTTGCCAGCTGGCTGCTGGCTGCGTGGTGGCTTCTCACTCCTCGGAATGCTTCGTGGCGACCTAAATGTTCTGAAGATTTTGTTGCTGGCTTTGCACACGGCACGATGTTAAAGCAAGGGCATTGACGGAAACAAAGAATTCCACAGCGGCTCGACGAGACGTTTTGTCGGTGTGGAGCAGTGACAAAAGCTGTTAAAGAACTCGGTGATGCGTCCTCGCACCTTTTCTCAGTGTAGGGCGGAGGCAGTATATCTCATTATGGTGCTATTGCCCCTCCACTGCTCCTTTGCTCACTTTACGTATTTGTCATGGGTCCTCTGATTCCCCTTGCTTTTCCTTAGAGTTCTTACAGCTTTGTCTTGTCCAAAATCGTGTCAGGTTTCTCCCTCCTAGGCGGAGGCACAGCTACTTACAAGAGTGGGACATTTCTTGTTAGTGTGCAATATAACATGCATGCCAATCATGGCGTAGTGTCACGTGTATGGACTTTCACAAGATGAAAACAATAAATAGGTATATGCTCATTTGAAAGCATGACAATGTGCTTACTTAACAACGTGATGTTTTGTTTTATTGTTTTTTTTCTCCTCAGCTAGAAGTTCTATAAAACTTGGATCAGTGTGTTGGGTTTGCTAGCCCAGCATGAAAAACCCTCCCTTCCTTTATTCTGCACCACACACACACATCGTGGACATGTCAGCCCCCCCGCACATACACACACACAGCTTCCCCCCTGCTGAGACCTCATATTGCATTTGGAGTGTTTGGGAGGCCTCTACAGTATTTCCAACGAGGCCTCCTCTCATTAGAATCCAGGAGTGTGCTTAGGGACTGAGCATGACCCCTTTCTCACCTGAGACTGATCACAGGACACACAAATTCCAATTTGTCCCATGATTTTACTTGAGTTAAGCTTTCGTGTCAGCAAGGAGCTAAAAGTCGAAACGCTCGGGCCTGTTATGAAACATTCTCAAATCATTTTGTAGAAAATGAGAAGGTTTGTCTCTTGAAGTGTTGGTAAAATATCAGAAGAAGCCGGGTACTGCACTTTAATGGCTCAGCACCACCAACCCGTCAGAATGGCTACCAATGATCACCTTTCACAATAAACCACACCGACAGAATTCTGTCTTGAATAGAAGTTTATTTCTCACATTGGCGGATGTTTTGGAAAAAACAAGTATTCATTCAACAAACAGCCATGGTGTCTACGACACGAAGCTGTGTTCTAAAACTGGAAATATCACTATTTCTGAAAATGTTTCATGGCCAAACATGAGGAGAGTCCAAGCCCGCCCATGAATGATACGCACGTTACATGTGTTGTTACAGAGGGAGAACGCTGGCTGACAGCATCCGAGCACTCCATAGATCGAGAGTGACCGTGCAGCCATTTCTTGAGGCCTCGGTCTTCAGGCCTTGAATGGAAAATACGGGTTTGGCTTGACAGTATGTTCATGGTTGTTGGCAATTGCAGTGAGCAAAAGGTTATTTTTTGTTTTTTGTTTTTTTAATGCAGCAGTAGTCATTGTAGCCAACCCGATTCATTTTGCCTATTGACAACAGTGTTTGCAAATGTGTTGATATGTACCGTATGTCATTTGCATTGGCCATGCCCACGTATCAAAAGCCAGCCTTTTTAAGACCCCCTTAAAATCAACTATTAGTCTACTGAGACGACCACGCATATGCATGATATCAGAGGCAGCCTTCCGCGACATGTGGGTGGTGGCCTTCCGTTTACCAAACTGGACAGCAAACACATCTTCGACTTGGTGTTACTGTCCAGATTTCAGTGTCTCTCATTGGCCATGCAGGGTTCTTGCTTAACTTCACAACCAAGAGCAGCCCCTGGTCACATGACTCCACACAAACCACACACCAAGTCGCTCATTCAGCTCATCTTCTGGTTGCATTCATACCTGACAGTCCATGGCAGAGTGTGTAGACTACTCATGTAGCCTCTGCAACCTACAGCCAACAGCCTATAGACCGTTGTTGTTATGAAGGGAAGTGGATCCCAGATTTTTCAGTGCGGAGGGGTGTCGATGCACAATGAACAAATCCCATGTCACCGTTTAGTCTGAAACCTTTTACCATCCCATATGAGATATGTTGTACTTTTCGATAATGTTTTATCTGTGACGTGTGTGTGTGTGTGTGTGTGTGTGTGTGTGTGTGTGTGTGTGTGTGTGTGTGTGTGTGTGTGTGTGTGTACATATATCTAGAAAAAAAAATATATAAATATATGGTTTGTTATATATGATGCGCCTCCTTTCAGAAAATATAATGTAAACAGGAAAAACATATTGCATTCTTCTTTTGCTTTGTATATTTCTACTTACAGAAAGCATTGAATAAAAATGGATACCTCCTTGCACTTTAGATATATTAAGAATAAGAAGGCAAATCTGCATATTATTTTTGATAGGGATCTGATTCAAAGAATATAAATTACAGACTTTGTGACCATTGCTGGACAGAGATGTATGGAGTTGTACTTATTGAAGTATATTTTGTCTGTGTCAGAAAGTTTACTGAAGTAAATTGCATGATATAGTAGTGCTATACACCAATATTGTTCTTTTTATTTGTTTTAAGTTGGTAAAAATTGTCTGAGAACTGTGATAACGGCCCTCTTGTATTTTAAAGCTCTCCTTGCCCTTTCTAGAGTATTTCTTGTCAAAATATGGCCTTTCCTGACTACATGACGATGGTGCTTATACTTTGACTTTGACATCGAGCTCATTCTGTACATCTCAACGTCGTCAGACTCGTGTCCTTAATTGCACTCCATTCACCACCTTATTAAATTTCTGTTGATGGCAAAAAAAGGAGAAGAAAAAAAGAAAAGGTGTGCTGTTTTGTACAGTGCTGTTTATTTTTAATGTTTGGGGGAGTCTTGTTGTCTGAAAAATGATTAATCATGCAATAAAAGCTCATTCCATGTGTCCCTGTCGCTGTTCACCTATAGCAACACTACATTTATGGATGTTCATAGACTTTTTTTTTTTTTGAACAGGCACAGCACGACCACTATTATTTAGTCTTTGGTCTTTTTTTTCTGCATGAGTAGCAAATAGAAAGGCATAGTTGTATCCCCTTTTATCCAAGATATTCTCATCAAACCTTTTAGTTATGTGACTTGTGCTGGCCTGAAATCACTGGCCTGGAAACTCGGTAAATATGCAATATTTACACCTGATATTCATAGACTTGTATTCTACTTTCATATTTAGATGGATATTTGAAGCGATAATGCTGTGAATCATTGCATTAATTGCAATGTTGTAGCAGCTTCTGTGAATGTTTATGTTCACAGATTAAATCGTGCATGTTAGAATTAGGACATATGAGGAAAAGGGATACATATTGTTGGCCACATAGCATAATTGTGTAAGTCATTTTTCAATGTTTTTGGAAAACAAGAAAAACTAAATTGGTATTTTTTTATTGGGTCTTCCTCCTGTTGATGACTTGTTTACCCCTCTGGTTGAAATTTCTGTTACAATATCCTAAAAAATAAAATACCAACGTGTGGTCTAAAAAAATTTTTGGTTTGTTTGTTTTCCAAAAACATTGAAAAATGTCCTATAGGCAATTATACAATGTGACAGATGGATGATATGTGATCCACAACAAAAAAGACAAAAGCATGGACCCTAATGGTCAAAGTGAAGTCTAATCCCAACCAAGGTCTACTTAACCTTTGTGGCTCAGTTTGTCCAACATCTTAACGTCAAATTTTTGTGGTCTCTCATCTTTGTTTGAAAGACTTGAGATTTGTTTGAAAGACTTGAGACCTTCATGTTTATTTAAAACAAATGCAATATAATTGCTTATATAAATTGCTAAATTGTTGGTGATGCCGCGCGTAAGGGGGGAAAAAAATCTCTGTGTGTGTTTCGCTGTCTGGATTACAACTGTGAAATATATGAAGTGGCTGTATTCTAAAATGCCTTTAATATAGAGTACAAAGAAATATGTACAGTACATCATTGATGCCCGTGGCACCCAAACTGCTGCACATGGTTTCGGTGTCAATATTAATAAATCACAACTACAATCTTCTCTATAAAACCTTACTTTATGAAGGACAGACTAAATATTCAGTTAATATGTGTTGTACACTGTATGATCATATATAAAAAAAAAACAGTTCAAATGTACAAACAAAACAAAATGACTCATGTTGACATCAAAGTGCCCAAGTTGTCATTTTTTTTAAATTAACATAACAATCAACATATTTTGTCACAGTCCTATTTTACAGCACAGGCCTACCCTAACATTGGAAAAAACATCGGTTAGCACAACAGCCAAACTGACTAGAAGGGGCAATCTTTGTGTTTAAAAAAAAAATAAAAAGCAGTTGTATCCTGATATGGTACAGCCTTCTATTTTAAGCATTGTCTAACTGGGATTCCGAGTTTCCGGTTAAGTCCCCAAATGATTTTCAAACCTGTCCATTTAGCAAGAGGATAGCTGGACCCTAGAGCAGGAGACGTGACAGCCCACGAGGACATGGAAAGCTCTGGGAACAAGTCAACAAGTGTCTCAATGAGGGCTGAGTGGGGAGTTCTAGCATCTACAGTTGTGTCATAAGAAAATTACTTTGAACGTGCGTGTGTGTGTGTGTGTGTGTGTGTGTGTGTGTGTGTGTGTGTGTGTGTGTGTGTGTGTGCGCGCGCTCACGCAGATTTGGGCGGGATCAAAAAGGTGCTCGCAAACACTGGTACCATCACTACTTGCTCAGCAAGCCAATGTCCTCCTATTATGCAAGTTGCAGGGGAAGAATCCTTAATGTGATATTTTGTTCAATATATGCTCGGTGTCTGCTTTGCCTTGCAGTTCTTACTGAGAAAACAAAACCATTTGCTTCTTCGAAAAAAACAAATCTTTCGTAACGCTGAGAGTGACCCATGTGGCGGATGTTTTGATGGATCGTCCGCTGGCCACGTTGTTTTCCAGCCACTCTCCTGACACTTTTATTGGTGTTTGGTGGGCCAAATTGGATCGGTCCTGCAGCTACACTTGTCCAAATGGGCCAAGGGCAAAAAAAAAAAAGGAAAACTTTTACTGTGAAAAACCTAAGACTGAACTATGGTCATATATATATATATTTTTTTTTAAAGAAGTGCATCTCACAATAATGGTAGCTGCATTTGTGCTGAAGTTTTTTTTTCTGGAATGAGAAAGCCTGTCCCATTCCACAAAAGACCTCGGGATTGTTTCTTACCTAAAATACCCGAAGCACAATTACTTCATAGAGCCCATGACAATGCTACGTGAACTTCTTCCTAACCAACACTCAAAGTATGTTAACATTAACGTTGCAAATTCAGACCTTTATACACTGATATGATGGAAATGAAGTGTTTATTTCCAGATTTAATTGAAGAGGTCAGAAAAGAATCGGAATAAGTCAAGAATACTCTGGTGAAGGTAAACCCATCATCTTCCTGAAATGAAAATCCGAATAATAATGTTGAGCCACTGAAAATGGACACATAAAATTGGCCACACTTCTGAATGGTAAAGGACATATTTTTGAGAAACCCCTTCAATTAAGGCTGAGTGTTGACACTTCAATCGTAATTCTTTCAAATTAATTTTGGTGACATACATATACAGGTAATATATATATATATATATATATATATATATA